GGAGAAGACGAGTATGACACTTCAGAGAAGAAAAGAACACCAGCATGGTGCGACCGAATATTGCATAAAGGGCAAGGAGTTAAACAATTACATTATCACAGATATGAATGTAGAGTATCTGATCATCGTCCAATTAGCGGAGCATTTGAAATTACAATAAAGACAATTTTAGAAAATAAACAAGCAGACATTAGAGAAGGGTTGCTTGTTTGGGTCATACATTTTATACTTCCAATTTCTGCCTCTAATTCAATTTTTTTGGAACTTGAATCAACTTCATCAAAAGGATTAAAAATTTCAATAACTCTTCCGTTTGATGACCATAGACAATGGCCGACAATAATAGCGCTGGTTTGTTTAGGAGTAATACGACAAGGCTTAGGTGTTGATTTCAAAGTTAAACATCCATTTCCATCCTCAGACCATATCATCAATTTACCATTATCATCAATTGTCCATAATTGAAATTCATGACGTAAAATAAAGATGATAGGATGGTTGTGAGCCTTTTTATTGATTTCAATATATTTTTCCTTATTTATATCAATAGCAAACAGATAACCATCTTGTGAGCCACACCACAAATATCTACCAACATCTTCAACCCGTCTTGATGGACGCCAACACATACTAATCACTTTGGAATCTTCATGAGAAATAGTATTAATATTAGTCCCTTCATCCAATGACCATACGCGAGAAAGACTTGAATCGGTAATAACAAAATTTCCAGCAATTGCAAAGGTGCGTATTGTACTTTTATGCTGAATATCTTTAATTCCGGGGAATCTCGGTGGTCTGCGATTAGCATGAGCTATATCAGGGGCATCAAGTTCAGAAATAGCAATATCAACCACTGAATCATCATCAGTGTCGTGATCATGATTTGGTTCACTTTTTCCAGCTCTAATATTTCTTGAAGTTTTTTTACCATTTTTTATATCATCATTATTAACATGTGATGCTAATTGAGGACGTGTTGGAAGTGGTGGTCGTTTATCGGCTTGATTTTTATGTGATTGAGATGTAATTAATCTATCATTGTCATTATCATTATTATCACTATCAATATCGTCGTCGTGGTTTGGTCTTGGAGGCAATCTTGGCTTATCATCTTCATTCTGTTTATTAGATATTCTTTGAGAATTAGGTGATATTTTACGGTATGGTTTTGATAAGTTACTATTAGGTGATTTCTTTAAATAAGAATCATTTTCATTATCCTCATCGTTGATGGTCGATGTTTGAAAAGGTTTGGTAGGTGGTGGTGTGATTTCTTTAGCATTAGAATAATGGGATTTAAGATTTAATTTTGAAATTTCTTGATCGTCTCCAAAAGGATCAACATCATCAGAATCATCGAATGGATTATCTTGTGAAATTTTTTTAGGATGTGATTGTGATTTAAACGACGACGACGAAGATGACAATGTAGTAGGTGGTTTATTAGATATTAATGGTGATAGTAATGGTAATGGTGACGGTAATGGTGATAACGTAGTTGAAGGTTTAGTAGGACTAAGTATTATGCCTTTTGTTGTGGTACTATAGTTGTTAAGTGGTTTTGATCTATGAGCAGGTATTGGTGGAGGGGTTTTTTTTCCAGAATCTAATTGATTGGTGACTGTGTGAGCGTTTTTAAAAGATGGTTTTTGTTTTATTTCATCTAACTTAATGTTGTCCTTTTCTATATTAGAATAAGAATTAGTGGTGTCTGACATTAATGATTTTTCCTGTTGTGGTTGATCTGTTTTTTTATGTTGTTGATGCGCTAAAGTAACAAGATTTTGAAATGTTGCTCTAGCGTCAGAGGTCGGTTTTCTAACGTCATTTGATTGTGGCTGTTGAGTTAATTGTTCAAATTTTGATTTAAGTGATTTAACATTTTGCTCAACTGACTCATCTGTATTGTTATTTTTGTCAATCTGCACTAATAAGAAAGAATTCATAAAATAAACATGTATCATGAAAAACTAATTATATAAAATTTTTAGAAACATACCATTTTCATATAATAATCTTCTTAAATAAATACTCCAGTAAAATGATGATGGTTTTTAATTTTTATTAATGATGCTTAGATAAGAAAATTGAGTTGGTACAACAAAGTTGTACATTTCAGGAATGATGTTTAATTAAAAATTTCAAAAAAGGATTCACCGTTTCACGAAAATCAAGTCAACGGTTAACAGTATGGACCAAAAAAACAAGGTGTTGCAAGTCTAAAAATGATAAAAATAGTTTAATCGAATCAATATATTTACTGCGGCATGATTCAGAAATTTTGCCACAGTCACTGGACATTGCAGATCATATATATATAATCATGGCGGAGCTTATCGGTCTTATTACCCAAAAATAGAAAAAACTATTACTATGTTACAAATTTAGAATAATAATGATTTTAATAACCACCCACCCCCAAAATTTGACGCATAAAATAAAACAAGTTACCGTAAAGTCTTGAAAGATAGCACCCCCTTTTTACAATACAGTCAGGGAGATTTCCAAATTTGGAAATCAATTCTAGAAATTTTGTTGATCAATTCATATACACTACAAATGAGTTTAGAAAACACTCCCCCGTTATGTTATGTCGCGTCTTTTTATATAAAACTTTAAAAAATAACTGTTAAATAATACTCTTTTGGATATATAGTTTCATAATCCCTGCTCATCCCCAAAGCTTTACAAAGTAGTTTTTTCAGAAATAAAACTTGAAATTGCGATTTTTTTTTTTTTTTTTCATAGAATCATATGTATATAAATTATAATGACAAATACAACACTCAAATCAAAAGATTTACCATGCTTATTTGAAAATCTTGTTGAGAGATATCAAAATACTCTTTTAGTTGAGTGTGAAACTAAGGAGAATCAGAAACAGCATTTTGCATCAGTAGAAAAATCAACTGAAAGAGCAAAACTTTTGGCTAAGTATTATTTTCATTAATTATTTAGAAAATTATTCTATTTGAAAAACATAATAATCAACTTGTTGCTAATAATTATTTTATTGAGCATTTAAAAAAGATAGGTAATTCAAGGTCATCATATATCATAGAAGAAAATGAATAAGAAAATTCATTATATATCATCCATTAATTCCATTTATTATGAACGTAAGAAATTTCAAATTTATTATATATATCCATTAATTATAGATGTAGGAAAATTCAAATTTATTTTACTTTCTCAATATTTTATATATATATTCATCCATTAATTCCATTTATTATGAACATAAGAAAATTCAAATTTATTTTACTTTCTCAATATTATATATATATATTCATACATTAATTAAATTTATTATGAACATAAGAAAATTCAAATTTATTTTACTTTCTCAATATTATATATATATTCATCCATTAATTCCATTTATTATGAACATAAGAAATTTCAAATTTATTATATATATCCATTAATTATAGATGTAGGAAAATTCAAATTTATTTTACTTTCTCAATATTTTATATATATATTCATCCATTAATTCCATTTATTATGAACATAAGAAAATTCAAATTTATTTTACTTTCTCAATATT